AGCACTTTGACTTAATTTGAAAATAAACTTAAAAGGAAATTATGCTTTGCTCATCCGTTTCAACCAGATCGGTCTCTTGACTCTCTCAAGTTCTATAATCTTGCTTGTTTCTAACTTTTGCTCATGCTGCTCTCTTCTTTTGCAAAACAGTTTCACTGTGACTTTTTTTGGGTTTTCTTTACCAGAATTTGGTGTGGTGCATTTTCTGGATGGTTGAGAAGGAAATATGCTGGCTGAGCTAGGCAAAAGTGCTTCTTCTCACTCCACCATCATGATTCTGCCCCCTCTGGGATACCTTCCAAATGTGTTTCATCAGCCCAGATCAAGACTCGTCCATCTTCTCCAAGAAGCCTTACTAGACAGACCTGCCCTCAAGGAAAATATTCCCTTAATTTTTGTTCTCAACATTCCATTTAATTTGAACTACTATATCACTCTCTGCCTTCTACGCTATTTAAGTGATATCTTCCTTTTTCTCCAACTAGACTGTAAGCTCCCCAAGGGCAGAAATAATATGTCTTTTACATCTCTCATGTCTAGGTAGTGGAGTACAGATCACACAATAGATGGTCAAGAAATGCCTAATGAATAAAGTTATCTAGGACTTGCAGTCAGGAAAGAAGTGGATTTGAATTCCAACTTCCACATTAACAACAAGAAGCATTATTAAGTACCTACTGCATGTAAGGCACTAGGACTACAAAGACAAAACAGGAAAAAAAAACAGTCAAGGAGCTTACTTTCTCCTTCTACTAGGGGAAACATACACAAAGTAAATACAACATAGTTTTATGTGGGAAAGAACACTGAAATCAAAATGACAAGTTAAGGAGCCATGAACTGGATCCAAATTTTATTCCAAAAACCTCAAGTGTGGAAGTAGATTGTTCCAGTCATGGGAGACGGTCTGTACAAAGATATAGAAACAGAAAGGAGACTGTTCTGGTTGTCAAGTATTTTGTGAAGGTATCAATCTGGAATGACAGTTGGACATCATCATAAAGTATGTGAAAGGTTATCTTGTGGAAAAAGAAAATTCATTCGACCATCCATATCTTCATTCCTCCAGGCCTCCTTCCTGAATCTCTAGTCTCCACCACGGGAATACCTTTCTCTCCATCCCTTTTAAGATTCCTCTGATGTGATCCCTCCCTCTATTAGAATGTACATTCCTTGAGGTTTGGAACTGTCTTTCTACTTGTCTCTGCATTCTCATAATTGAGCACAGTGTCTGACACATAGTCGGTGCTTAATAAATGCTTGTGGATTCCTATTGTTTGTCCTTCATCCTTGAAGAGGACCATGACATCAGGGAGGTGACACCATGACATGCAAGTGAATTGGATTGAAGTGAGGGAGGGCTGTGCAAAGTCACCAGCCTCGCTTTCTCCTCTGGAGCCATCTGGGTCCAGTGACGAGATATGGATCAGGATGACTGTAGATGGCCCAGGATGCAGTGGAGGACCTTGGCCTTTTCAAGCTAAGGTCAATAATAGGTCTCAGTCTGACTGAGGCAAAGCCCATTCAGGGATTAAGGCTTAATAAAAATGAGGCAAAGAATGGCCTCTTTTAAAAAAAAAAAAGATCTGGAAAGAGAAGACCCTCACGGTTTCTGGCCAAAACAGAAACAATTATTATTTACATTCATTCTGAGTCCCTATCCAAAAATGATGTAGCCTTAGGAAGTAATTGGCTCCCCACCCCCCCACCCCCAGCCACAGACTTTAAGCAAAAGATAAGAAACCATTTGGGGTAGGAAATTCTTGCCTCTTCTGCTTAAGTCCCCTACAGGTCCAACTATCGGACCTGGAATTCTACCTGTACCTTGGACATTTGGACTGAGATGACATTTCAATAATTCTGTTAATCCTATCTCTGCTATTTATTATATAGGCAGTACCTATATAACCTTGGGCTCAACCAATCTGAACCTCCATTGGATGGTGTGAAAGCTGAGATTTGAATCCAAGTCTTCTGACTCCCAAGTTCAACTCATCAAATCCTCCCAATACTCTTTCCTAGGTCCCTCCTCACCTCTTATACTCACAATCTACATCCTAGATTCCCTATATAGGAAACCCAAGAATACTCAGGCCTGAAGGTGATTAGGCTATGTCTCAAGAAAGTTCACTGGTTATTGATTCTAGTGTTGGCTTGATTCTGTTGATTCTAGTGTTCATTGGTTATTGATTCTAGCAGTGTCCAAGCATCCAGTTTTGGGAAATTTCAGGCCTCTTTGACACCAGGAAGAGGAGAGGACATGAAAAGGAGGAAGGAAAGGCAGGCAAATTCTCTATCCCATCCAACAAATCCCACACCTGCAGCTCTGGCAAAGGTTTCATAGGGGGGAATGAATTCTTTACCAATCAGTACAAGTCAAGAGATAGGATTCATATGAGGTCCCATGTCTCTTCAACATGCCACCCTACAGCTCAACTTCTAACCTGAGCAGCCACACACACACAATTTCTCAACTACCAACTTTAAATTCAATAAATCTCCCACAGACAGCTGGTAGCAAAGTGGCCAGCACACTTGCACTGGTCCTGGAGTCAGGAAGACGAGATCAAATCTGACTTCAGTAGGCAAGTCACTTCATTTTTATTTGTCTCAGTGTCCTCAACTCTAAAATGAGAAGAATAGCATGTACCAAAGATTAACACAGTGTCTGGCACACAGCAGGAGTTATATAAATGTTTTTGACCTCCCCCATTTTACAGATAAGTAAAGTGAGTCAGTCCCTCAATAGTTTAGTGATTTGCCCAAAAATTGCCAGACTAGGAAATCGAAGCCATATAATAAAATGAAAACTTAATATTTATCTTAAATGTTTGGATTAAAGCTATTAATTGTACTCTATGTTGCCATCTTCCATCCCAATGGAGTCAGTGTTTTACTAATTTTGCATGCCTAGGAAATAATAATTTAAAAGTGCCGGCTCTGAAGAAAAGCAACTTGGCACAAGATGAGGAGGGTTGGGGGGTAGAGGGTGGGAGGCAGGGACTATGAAAGATGAAGTAGTCTTACCACAATCTAAAGCAAGCCATTACTTTTCAGTAACGTGTCTCAGGGGATTTTTGCAGTTGATATAATTCAGGCAAAACTTTAGTTTCAAGTTTCAAGTGAGAGAATATAAACTCAACTGCCCTGAATGAAATCTATCCACCTATGAAGGTTAGCAGCTGAATCTTCCTGGCAACATTTTTGCAAAGAAACCACCAACTTTAGAAGGCCTAGATGACTTCAAGGAACCTTGAATTTCCCAATAACAATTTTAAAAGGTAAATGAACTCAATCCCATTAAAAAAAACATGCAGTGGCAAAGTATAAATAACCTGATAGCATAAAAGAAAACCAGCTTCAGCACAGGCTTAATGAGAAATAGTTATAGTTTTAAACTAAGACCAAAATCCACATATTTGCACAATTATTTTTACAATAAACCTGGATCTCTTTTGAGTAAGTTTCCCAACGTCTAATTCTTATGAATTCCATTTGACCAGACATCCTAAATCAGGAGTTCTTAAATTTTTTTGTGTATGTCATGGACACCTTTGGCAATCTGGTTAAATCAAAGTACGGAGCCCTTCTCTGCATGTATTCAAATGCATAAAATGATATACACAGGAGTACAAAGGAAATCAATTATACTTAAAACTGTTATAAAAAATTTTTTTAAATATGCTTATTTTAAAACACTTCTTTCAAGGAAAGTTGCCTTAGTGCCCTGCTTTTGTGTGCAAGAAAGGGTCATTGTTTCCTTACTTCAATGTCAAAAAAGTCTTGCTAATTAAAAAGCTATATATTCCTTAAAAAAAAAATTTTTTTAAGTACTGGGATATCAGAGTTAAAATCCCAGGTCTAAAAGAAATCGTGTTATAATGGGATAATATTTGTAAAATGTTTAGTACAGTGCCTGGCACATAAGTGCTTAATAAATTATTTGCTTCCTTTCCCTGTTTCCTTATAAAGGTGTAGGGACTAAACCTCAGTGCTGAGAAAACTTGTCCAACAATACTGGTTGTGAAGAGGTGCCTACAGAGCACAGAGAGGTTAAATGATTTGCTCAGGACCACACACACTTAAATAGGGGCATCCCACTTGCTCTAGATTATAACAGAACAAATTAACATTTTAGTCTAGATACAGAAACAGGGAACCTGCAAGGGACTGAAAGAAGTCAATAACTAAGAGTATTGTACTAAGGTACAATAAACAGATCTGCAATATGCTTTTATTTCAGGAATGTGAATCCTTCCAACTTCTCACTTCAGGAACTAAGGACTACATATTTAGTAGCATTTTTATAGAGCCCTAAGGTTTGCAAAGCACTTTACAAATATTATTTCATTTGATCCTCACAAAAACCCTGGGAGGTAGATGCTATTATTAGCCCCATTTTACAGATGAGGAAACTGAGGCAGAGAGTAGTTAAGTGACAGGGAATGTCTGAGGCTGTATTTGAACTCATGTCTTCCTAACTCGAGATTCAAATGAAGCGAGGTAGTAATGGGTTCATCACAGGTAAATGATGTCAAAGAAAAGTGAAAATCTGTCATTCCTCCTCATATTTGAACGACTGAGTGAGAAGGAGCAGTGCGGCAACTGCCTGCATTAAAGTCTTCACAAAGTATTTCCTAACAGAGCCATGCATCCTTCTTTAGCATCTGTAGGCTGCCACAGTAGATTTTTTTTTCTTCCAACTTTAAAGGCATAGCTTGAGTTTTCCTTCTGGCTCTGCCTCTAAGTCTCTGACCTCACTCAAATCACTGGACTCCCCTGGGAAATAAAAATAGAAACCTCCTCCAGTTATTGCAAACTGGACCAGTGACTTTACATGCCTTTGCAAATAGTCTGGCCCAATCACTCTGGCAAGCAGCAACACTGCTACCAGTCTCGTCTACAACATTCATCCCGCCCCAACCACTGGACATCTGCTACACCTCAACTCCAGCTCCTAACTCCCCAGCCAATAGCTCGTTCTTCCCTCAGTTACCCACCGAGTACTTTCCCCATACTGATCAGTTCAAAGCTGGTAGACTCTTTCCTTTCCGTTTCCCAGACTGAATCGCACAGGCCTGGGGCGGGAGACTGGGTGTAGGGGGTTGGGGGGGGGTGAGAGGGGAAGATTGTCAGTCTGTATTCTAGAGGCAAGTTCCCTCCCTTTGGCTGTTCTCCTTCAGATCCAAAACAGGGTGGTCCAACGCGGCGCCAACCTGTTGGCATTTAAGCTTGTCCGAACTTCCTCTTTGGACAGCACAACTAAAAAGCCTAAGGAATGACAAAGTCCCGCATCAGCAGAAGCTGCCCCGGGGCAGGTCACCACGAATCAAATCACCCAAAGCCCCGGAGGAGGTGTGGGTTGTGTTTTCTTCTCTTTAAGTGACCCAGAAGGACTGCCCTGGGAGGAGGGAAGATGCCTGCCTTCTTTAACTGAGCCAGCGTGGGAGGAAGGACTGGCCTCAAAGTCTGCCCACCCGAGGACTTACAGCCCTTGGTCCTAAGCTCGTCCGAAACCAGAACATTAGGGAGGGAGAAAGCACCAGGGTATGCCCCGAGGTCTCCCAGATTTTTTCCTTTAAACGAAACCCTACCCCAACTCAGAGTCAACTCCCGGTAACCAGATCTTGGAGAAGGAGACAACCAGGGAGAAGGTGCCGAGGAAAGAAAGGCGGCGGCGGGGTCCCGGCCCAGCCGGAGCCCCGCAGGAGCCCACCCCCTCCTCCTCACGGTCCAGACTCCCTGGCCACCAGGCTCAAGGTGGCCACTTACACTCTCTGCCCCTCCCTGAATCCCCATCTCGTGCCTCGAAACCCACCAAGACGAGTTCTCGGTCCTCCTTCCCCCCCACCCCATCCCCCAGGGTCTTGCTTCAAGGAACCCCGCACTTACCACCGCCTGCCGAGCCGAGCCGGGAGGTCTGAGCTCGCCCGGGCAGGCGAGGGGGCGGGTCTGAGCTGACCGGGGCGGGCAGCGCAGTTACAGAGGCTTCCGGCTTCTCCCCGCCTACTGGCCGGGCTCCTGGAGAGCTGCAGCCCCGTCCCGTCCCGCCTAGTCTCGCTCTCCGCCCCTTTCCCTTCCCTGCCCAGCCCCTTCCTCTTGTGGCTGAAGGCTCCCTGGAATTGCTTATAAGCCCTAGCTTCCCTCTGTCCCTCTTGTCCAGTTGGCTGCAGACCCCTTTAGCCTCTCCATCCTTTGATTCATAAACTCTCAGAGTTGGAAAGAGCCTTAGAAATCGTCTAGTGCAGAGGTCTTAACCATTTTTAAGTCATGGCCCCCTTTTCTTGTCTGGTAAAGCCCTTCTCAGAATCATAAATGCACTAAATCCTTAGGACTACAAAAGAACCCAAAGGTTAGCGAAAAATAAAGATGTAATTTTTTTGGCCAAGTTCACTGTCCTTTGGAAATCTCTATTCACGCCCCACCGCCTCAAGTCCCTGGACTCCAAGTTAAGAACACTTGATCTGGTCCAACTTCCTCATTTTACAGAGAAGGAACTGAGACCCAAAGAGAATTAGTCACTTTCCCAGGCTCACAAAGTTATTTAGTGACACAATTAGATACTAGAACTTGGGGCCACCTAACTCCCAGTACAAGAGTCTTTACATCAGATATCTCACTGCTCTCTTCTCTCTCCCTCAAATTTCTCCTCTCTTTGGTTCAATTTTGCCTTCATTGCCTTCCCCAGTTACATTCTTCTCATTCCCTGTCTGCCTTTCCCAGATTTCACTTTACACTTTATTACTTAGCCCTTTCTCACAGGCTTTGGTATGATCCTTCAATTGAGCCTAACTCCACCCTGTTCGTTTTCTCAGAGACGCCAATGACCACTTCCCCTTAGGTGAATTCACTGAGCTGATTATACGGAGTCTCTCTTCTGTCCTCTTTGCCCTTTCTGTAGTGACCTATTAGTTATTGTTGTTGTTCAGTCATGTCCAACTTTTTGTGACCCCATTTGGGGTTTTCTTGGCAAAGACACTGGAGTGGTTTACTATTTTCTTCTTCAGTTCATTTTATAGATGAGGAAACTAAGGCAAACAGGGTTAAGTGACCTACCCAAGGTTACACAGCTAGTGTCTGAGACTGGATTTGAACTCAGGTCTTCCTGACTCCAGGCCCAGCACTCTATTTACTGAGCTATCTAACTGTTCCATAAAATGATTTATGTCTGCTCCCATTCATGGAAGTCATGGATATCAATGGAAAGCAGTAACTTAAAATTTTAACTCCTCTTATAGATTTCTATGTGCCATCCTCCAAAACTTACTCAAATTTTCCTTTAATAAACATCAGAGAACTCCATTTTACAATTGGGGAAACTGAAGCCAGTAGTGGTAAATATGACTTGTCCAAGGTCACAAAATAAGTGCCAAATCCAGGACTAGAACCCAGGTCTCTTGACTTCCACTTCAATACTCCTTCCACCAAAATCACCATGACAACCCAACTCAGTGCAGCAAAACTAAAAGCTTTAGAAAGGGCTATATATCAGGCTGGCAAAGTTTGTGAAAAATTAATCAACGAATCTATGATCTCATCAGAGTAGATTGCAACATGAGTACTTTCTATCCTGTTATGCTTCTCCATTTCTTTCTATAACTCCTCCCATAAATGATCTACCCAATACTGCTGGAGGCCTTCCTCTGGTGAGTTAAAAGGTGCGTGCATATGCATATATGAATAAACATTGGACCTGTGATTTCATCAATATAGGGAATGTCTGGTCGATATCTATGTATGTATACCTATATAAATAAGTATTACATCTATGATTTCATTGCTATAGGAACTCCCAAGTGAGGAAACTCCCTCTACCAATGCAGATTGGTATATTCTCTGCAATTTATAATCTTAGAAAGTTGTCTAGACTGGAACACCGAGATTAAATGATTTGCCCATAGTCACAAAGCTGTATGTATCAGAGGCAGAGCATAAACCTAGGTCTTTTTCACCCCGAGGCAGGCTTTCTATACATTATGCTCTGATGCCACTAATTTTGGTCTATGTAAGCTTTCAATAACTGCAGCACTTTAGCAATGTATTATTACTTAGAGCCAGACCACATGTTTCCTCCATGATAACTGGTTCACTGTCACCTTTCAATTGAAGGGCTCTTGGGCAGACAAAAAGACAGCATATCATTAAACTATCCCTGAATAGAGCCCTGTAACAGTGAGCAAGTAACTTGGAGGTGGGGATAGGAAAGAAACCAAAACAGTAAAGCAAAAACTAAACTGGTTAGATTTTTTAACATGATGCAGTGAAAATACAACACAAGGCTAATTTCCCATGTGTCTCAAAAATATTTATTTTTCTCATAGTTTTTCTTTATTTCCTTTCCCCTGGTTCTTTGAACACAATAGACATTCAACTCCAGGGTTTGAAGAACAGCCTTTATTTTTTTCAAATGTCTGAAGTACTAGTACGACCTTAAGGTTATTTTAGAAGAGCTTTAAACCTATAATTTTCCTTCCTTTCTTAATTTCTTTATTTTCTTCCTTTCTTAATTTTCTTCTTTCTTTTTTCCTCCTTCCATCTATCTTTCCCTCTTTCCTACATTCCTTCTCCCTTCCTTTCTCAATTTCTTCCTTCCTTTCTTAATTCTTTCTTTCTTCCTTTCTTTTTTAAAAATTCCCAGAAAAAACACACCACTTAGTTTTCCAACCAGCAGCTTCCCAGCAGGGCACAAAAAAAAAAATAATGCCACTTGCTTCATGTGCTAGCCAACCCAGCAGGAGGAAAAACATACTGGCTAACTCCTAGTACACAGGAAACTGAACTCTTGCTACTGCCACGGCTAGGGAGATTCCAGCTCTCTTTTGACTTCATAAGGGATTTGGAAGTGTATTCTCCATCCTTGGATACATATGGTATCACATGAACCAGTCTTGAAAGGGGAGCACTGATTTCAACTAACTTTTTTTCTCCCCTCTGGGCATACATAATCAGAGACTTGAGCAGTACAAGTAGTTGCCAGAGCCAGCCTCTGTAAGTGAACTCTTCCTCTTCACCAAGGCAACTTAGTGTTGCATATATTTATCACTAAACAGTGTTCCTTTTTTTCCAAAGGCTGCTGAGATCATGCCCTGAAATGGAGATGCAATTGTTTGCAGAAAAACACATACAAACAGAGTGCTTCTGTACTAAGCCAGAGAGCCTTGCCTGCAAGCAGGCAAATTACCTACAGCTAATTTAATTGTCTGAAGATGGTGACCCTATGTAATCAGAACAGCAGCCCCTGCCTGGAAGGCAAAGTTAAATCATGGTACTTCTCCAAACTGCCTTCTGTGTTTTAGTTTTTTGTTTTGTTCTGTTTTGTTTTTCATATAAAAGCATGAAAGAGTATCAGCTCTTCTATGTGTGTTTAGTTCCCACCCTGGTCCCTGCCTTCACAAGAAGATAAACTGCTCGCCCCAAAATAGGATTTAGCCTTTAGCTTGCCTCCCCAAAGTTAGAATACAACTCTCCCTTTTAACAGCCAAAGGAGCAGCAATGAAAAATGAGCCTCTAGAAGAAGAAAACTTTGTCTTCTTTCAGACATTTCAGAAAAACTGCACACAGAAGTTCCACCCCACCTCCCCAGGCCTCTGGGGTCATGCTTTCCAGATTAAGGCCAAGATAATTTGTGTTAGGAATTTAGAATTAGCATTAAGGTCTACAAAATAGATTTGCCACCATTACTTGGCTAATTTTAGCAAGTCACTGTCCCTTTCCATACCCGTCTCAGGGAAACATCTGACCCCAAAGCTCACCCAACGCTATTTGGTTGATCTGCAGGCATGAGGTTCTAAGCCTCTGAGTTCTGTTTCTATTCACTGGAATCCTTGACAGGCCTTTGACTCTCTCTGATCTCTGTACCTCTTACTCCCACCTGGATGTCCTCCTTACCTCCACTCCTGGCAAGGACCAGTACCTTGCTAATCCTTCATCAATCAAAGGGACTTCCTTGTCTCTGTCTCCCAGGGCTTTTCTCAATCCCCATGCTGCCTGCCTGAATTGTTATGTTTCCTGGAATTTGAACCTGAACAATAATGTTTATCATCAGCAAGCTCTGTCCACAACACTTGGCACCAGCTGTTTCAATTAAGATTTCCCAATCCTTGCCAAGAAGGAGACCGGCTTGGGGAGGGGCAAGGGGCAGAAAAGGAGAGGAGGGAAAGAGTGTACTTGAGTGTGGTGAGAAGCCCTGGATTGCACAATTTGAGGAAGAAACCATGTGTCAATTGAATCTGTGTTTGCATGTGAAACCTCACA